CATGTACCCACCCACTTTTCTCCTCACAAAGTCCATCTCAGGCCCAAGCCAGGCATAACAAACATTTGATTTATCTAGTCACCCACCCTTTTGGACCCAGGTATCCTCCCTTTTCTCTTTCCTTTAGAGTTAGTGTTGTTGTTATTCAGTCATTTTTCAATCTGTCCAACTCTTTGTGACCCCATTTGGGGTTTTCTTGGCAAAGATACTGGAATGGTTTGCCATTTTCTTCTCCAGCTCATTTTACAGATGAGGAAACTGAAGCAAACAGGGTTAAGTGACTTGCCCAGGATCACACAGCTAGCAAGTGTCTGATGTGAGATTTGAACTCAGGAAGATGAGTCTTCCTGACTTGAGGCCTGGCACTCTATCCACTGCGCCACCTAGCTGGCAGCATCAAAGCTTTCTTCCTGTGTCTGTCCAGTCTCTTCCTTCTCAGTGCCAGCCTTCACACTCTGCTTAATGCACAAATTTGACTATGTCACTCCTTCATTTTTTATTTATTTATTTTTGGTTAGGCAGTGGGGTTAAGTGACTTGCCCTGAGTCACACAGCTAGTAAGTGTTATGTGTCTGAGGGCAGATTTGAACTCAGGTCCTCCTGAATCCAGGGCCAGTGCTCTATCCACTGCACCACCTAGCTGCCCCTTTTGTCACTTCTTTATTCAAAATTCTTCAATGATTCCCCAGTGCTCAAAGACAAGAAAAAACAAATCTGACTTTGACCTACCTTTTCAAACTTATTTTACTCTATTCCCTTCCATGAGAACAGTGTGGGATGTTGGGTAGAGACCTCACCTTAGAGCAAGGATGAACTGGGTTCAGGTCCTGCCTCTGACACTTATTAGCTGCATGACCCTGGGCAAATTACTTAATCTCTCAGAGTGCTAGGCAACTCTGAAAGCTTCAGGGAATGTAGCCTCCTCTATCAGTGCAATCACAGATCCAGTCCCTCTCCTCATCTCCTTTCTGCACCCCATATTCCAGCCAAACTGGACTATATTTTGCTCCCCAATCCTGTCCTGCATTTTCCTGTTCATTTATGCAGAACTGGCCCAGAATGTATGTCTTTTCTTCAGACCCCAAAGGAATCCTTCCCTCCCTTCAAGGCTCAGCCCAGCTCAAATGCCTTCTCAATGGAGAAATCATCCTCTTCCTTGTTAACTGCCACTCCATCCCTTCCCCCAGCTGAAAGCTATCTTTTTATTGTGCATAATCTAGAGTCCTCCTTTGCCTTTATCATGTTCTATCTGGTGCCTTCTAGGGGCTATATGATTTCTAAAGGTCCTTCCAGCTGTTTTGGCTGCATAGATACTGATCTCTGTACTAATCCTACCTACCATCCCATTATACTGTAAATTCCTAGAGGGCCAGGGACTGCGTTATTTTCAACTTTGTATTCCCAGGGACTTGTACATAGTAGATGCCAATTGAATTATTTGCTAAATTGACTGGAGGGGATAGTGGGGGTGAGAAGTGGGATAGGACAGTGATGACAGCCTTAGAAGATAATCATATCTTCCCTAAGTCTTCTCTGCCCCAGCTTAAATTCCTTCAATCAATCATTGTATGACAAAGATTCCAGTCTTCTCACCTGATTGCCCTTCTCTGTACATGCTTCAACTCATCCGTAAAACGTGTCTCTGGAACTAAATATCCCAGTCTAGGTCTGGTGTGACCAGGGCAGAGGATTGTGGGGACCCTCACCTCCCTCCTGCTTCTTAGAGAGGCTTGTTCCTTGTATTCCAAGGCTGGCAGCCAAGTCTTTTTGGCATTCTGAATAGTGCAGACCTGCCAGCCGGACAGCCCTTAGCTGGAGGCCACACCTCTGTCTCTTCCTCCTCCAGTTTCACCAACATCTGGACAGAGAGACCCAGAGGAGACTAGAACATGGCCCAATCCTGTCCGAGTCTAGACCAACTTCTCTAAAAAAGACTGTTCCCCAAGGATGTTAACAGAGGGCTTTGTGTATTCCGAATAATAATAACCACGATTTTGCTAATGCTGTAGTGCTTTAATATTTACAAAGGACTTTCTTAGCACAATCAAGAATAAACCCATTTCAAAAATAAGGAGACTGAGGTTCGTTCACCATCACAAAGCAAAGAAGTATGACAGCTGGATTCCATCTCTGGCCTTTTAATTCCAAGCCTTTCCACTGTGTCACACCTCCTTTCTAGATGGTTTAAATTTTCTATCACAGTGAGACAGGGACTGTGGGCCAGGCAGAATATACTGCTGGAATTTGGTAATGAGTTCCCAGTCAGTGGAGGTATCCTATCAGAGGCTGGATGAGCTCTTTTCAAAGATACTATTACAGATTAGAACTGCAATAGATTCCTCTATGATTCTGCAAATTCATGTACACAGACTCCCCTAGGAGAGTTCAAATATAGAGAAAAACTATTTATTTGTAGAACTAAGGAAAGAATCTGTGTTTTTCATTTGTTTTTCTTTCCTGGAGCTGCCTTTTCTCCAAAACCTGGCTTTCCTCAGAATCACAGAATTTCAAAGACCATGTAATCTAACTCATACCTGAAGAGAAATTCCCTCTATGAAATTGCTCCCAATTCAAGAATAGCTGATACTTTTGATTTTGGTGGGAATCATCAAGAGATAGAAGGGGAATGAATATACTCTAGGCAAGATTTGAAAATTGCACAACTCATCTATACCAATAATACTCCTGTGTATTATTGTTCATGGTAGGCTCTGTGTCTTTATCATAATATGCTACTTGACATCACAAAATAGCTGGATGAGACTAAGGATCATAGAGCCAATGACATAGTAGAAAGTACATTGAATGTAGAGTCAGAAGACTTGATTTTGCCGCTGATTTGCTGTGTAACTTTAAGCAAATAAGGTTGTTTTTTTTTTGGCTTAGTTTCCTATATATAAAATAAGGCTCCTTCAGCTCAATTAATCTTCTCATTTTATATATGAAGAAACTAAGATTCAGGCAGGACTAATGATCTGCCCAAGACCATACAAGTGGAAGAGCTGGGATTTGAATACAAGTCTACTTTCCCCCTAGCATTAAAACATCACCATTTTCAAAAATCCATGTAAAATAAACCCTTCACTGCACCCTCATACTTGCTGCACCCTAAGCTGATACCTTGCCTATCCCTAGTTTTGGCCATTAGACACAACTACCCTGGAAATTAGAAAAAGAGAATGGAACTCTTGGTCTTACTGGAGACAGAAAGCATATGCCAGCCTTGCCCTAGGGAGCCGTTTACAAAAGGGATTATCAACCACTTGTCCCTCTCTTCCCTGGATGAAAAAGATCTCTTCAGTTTTGTTTTTCAAAGGGTTTTCCAGAAACTCAACCATAATAAAGTATCACATCTACTTACCACTTTAAAAATCAATTTCCTCACAACTCAGTCAGGTCATCAGTTCAAATATTATCCCCATCATACAGATGAGGTAACGGAAGCCCAGAGAGGTGAATTTAGTTGTCCAAAGTCACAGCCACTAAGAGATGAAGTTGGGACTCAAACACACATTCAGTTGTCTTTCTGTTAACCAAGTCATTCATACATACACATTTCTGCTCTTTACGTATGATGAAAAGTCGCCAATCAAAAATAACTTCCAGAAAATACTGACTAGATGCTGATTAGAATCACTGGCCTAGGTGGAAATTCTAATTCCTTTTCCACTATATCATATTGCACTAATTATTGAAAACTGCAGGCACATATCTCTGGGAAAGATCCCACCTCAATCCTTTGATCTTGACTACCCCAGAGCCAAACCAATGGCCCAGAATGGCAAACCAAAAGCAAGCAAAATCCAATACCTGTATCTGAGAGGGTCATAGGATTACACAATCATTAAAGCTGGAGGTCATAAAGAACCCTGAAGTTTTTGCTTTTATTTGCGCACGTGCACACGTGCACACACACACACACACACACACACAAGGGGACAATACAAATTTAATTTCAGTCTCATGGACTTTTGCTCTATGACCAAAGCCTCAAAGTACAGCTGGACAGAGAATAAGTTCCACAGGACATGGCTTCATGTAATGATTTTTTCCTGGGTTTCATGCACTGAGTGCTCAGCAGTCTACCCATAGATGACCAGAACTGGAGGGGACCTCAGAAATTATCTAGTAGAAACCACTCCTTTAATAGAAGGGGAATAGAGGGGGCCAGAGAGGATAAGGGTCTTGACCAAGGTCATGCCAAAAAGTCAGCAACAGAGTCAGCACTTGAACCCAGTTCTCTTGCCTCCTAGTTGGAAGTGTTTTCTACTATGCCCCAGCTGCTCATGCGCTTTCCAACAGCTGTAAACCAATTGGCAAAGATAGGTCCCACCCAATCCATCTGGCAGGAAGATGTCTGAGCCAGCTCCGGCAGATCATTTGTCATCTGGGGTATGCAGGGACGATTCACAGACAGTGCCTGCTTCCCTTCTCACATTCCCATCAGTTTCTAAATACAGTCATTCCTCCCCACCCCCATCCAGTATTCATCAACCTTAAACTACTATAGAAATGTGAGTTACTGCTATTATTACTATTCAACACTGTTAAGAGCCAGACTGGCCTTTGGAGAGATCTGCCTGGGATACCGTACATTTGGCTACCATTGCACACACCCACCAACCTGCCTTTGCCTATTTATATTACCCAGGCAGGGGCCTGGGAATGGGGAAAGAGAGCACCCAGAGAGCTCTTTAAAGATACCCACATCTGGACAATAGCTTGACCCAGGCACTACTGTCTACTACCAGGCAGACCAAGTGCCCTATAGGGCAGCTGTCAAAGATGGGTGGCATCCTCCTGCTCCGAAAGGCCTGCCTTGAACCTCATCTCCCCCGTAGGAACAAAAGCAGGCAGGAGCCTGGGTGTGGATGGTTCCTGCAGATGCAGGGTTGCCTCTTCCTGCTCCTCAGTCAGAGCCAACGCAGCCTCCCCTCCACCTCCACCCCAACGCACCCGGTTCCCATAGAGAAGCAATAGGAATAGATAGATGTACTTACTGCTGGTGTTCATGGTGACGCCCTGGCTCTGAATTTCTCATTCAACAAAGAGGCCAAGGCGGTTCTTTAAATGTAGTCTCTCTTTGCTCCAATGCTCACCTGGAGGAGGGGGGGCGCGGAGAGAGGGGGTAGAGGAGGGACTAGCAGGGAGAGGGCTCACGCTGATCTCCAAGATTTCTTCCAGTTCTAAATCCTATGATCCTGTGGTCTTTTCTATCCCAGGTATTCCCTCTCTGCCCCGAGTCTGCCTCTCTCTGCTTCCTGACTGCTCTCAGTCGTGGAAAGGCAGAAGCAATGAATGACAAGCAGATAGGCTGGCAGGCAAGGCATGCAGGCCCACGGACAGACAGACCGACTGAGTGCCGCTGCCCTGGCGCCTCGCCTGCGCTCTCGCTGGTTCCAGGGCTCTCCCGTGCAATGCGGAGCAATTCCAGCTGGACTTTTCCTGTGAGCGCTCCAAGGGGGTGTGGACCACTGAGAGGGAGGGAAAAGCAGGGGAGGTGGGAGGGAGGGAGAGGAGGGAGGGTGTCAGGCTGCAGCCCCGCTCCTGTCCAAGCGAAGCCAAGTCGCTGCTGCGAGGTCCTTGCCCAGCCCCACAACTCGCCTGCCAGCCGACGCTGGGAGCCCCGAATGCCCTCTCCGCGCCCCGCCCCGCCCCGCCTCGCCGCGTGCCTGGAGAGTCTGCAGGGGATGCTTTCGGAAGGTCTGGACTCTGCCAGGGAACAGGGACCAGAAGGGGAGGGGAAGGAGACCCGGGAAGAAGCCTTCCCGCAGGGTTTGCTTGCTCTACCAGTGCCTAGGGAAGCGGGGGATGGTTGGCTGCCGCCCGCCACCTGCTGGATACACTAAGATGCTCTCAGGCTCCTGGCATTTCGGGGGTACCGGGAAGCATAACAATAATGTCTCGTATTTCTAAAGCGCTTCAGGTTTACAAAGCACTTAAGATTATAACATTTGGAACTGGAAGGGACCCTTAGACACCAGCTAGCCCGGCCCCTTCCTTTGGAAATTGAGAAAACTGGTCCAGAGACAGGGAAGTGACTTACCCAGGGTCATGCCCCTTATTAGTAACAGAGCTAGGGTTCCAACTATGCGCTTTCCATCCCACCACAAACCTCACAGCGTCTCGAATTGGAAGGGACTTTAGAGATCACTCAGACTAACGGTGCAGGGGTGGGGAACCTGAGGCCTCAAGCGCGGCCATTTGGATTCAACTCGGATTCAATCAAATGGCCGTGCTTCAGGACCTAGAGGGCCAACTGTGGCCTCGAAGCTGCAAGTTCCACCTCTTCATTATGTATTTGTGTAGACTGAGCCCCAGAGAAAGAAAGTCACACAGCTGGTAAATAACAGAGTTGTAATCTGTTCCCAGGTCTTCAGATTCAAAATCCCCTGCTCATTCTAGCAGGCTGCCCTGTTTCTTCCCACCCCTCACAACAACCCTATGGCAGAAAGTCAAAAAGAGCAAATTAATTTAGTCAGTAAGCATTTATTAAGCGACTGCTATGTACTAAACACTGTGCAGAGCTGTGGAGATCCAAAGAAAGATGAGACAGCTCCTTTTCTCAAGGAGCTCACAGTCTAATGAGGCAGACAGCATGAAAACAACTGGGTACAAACAAGATAGATACAAGATAAATTGGAATAAGTAAGTAACAGAAGGAAGGCATTAGAATTAAGGAGGATAAGGAAAGGCTTCCTTGGAAGGTGGGGTTTTAGCTGGGACTTGAAGAAATCCAGGAGGCAAAGATGAGGAGGGAAAGAATTCCCAGCAGGGGGGACAATAAGTGAAAATACTGGGGATTAGTAAATGGAGTGTATTGTATGAGGAACAGCAAGGAGGCCAATGTCATTGGATAGAAGAACACATAGGATTGAATCATGTATAAGATGTCTGCGTGACTTAGTTGGAGGTAGTAAGGAGAACTGTGAAGATTTGATTGAACTCAGGTTATGGATTGTCGATTTAGAGGTGGGCTAGACATCAGAAATTATCTGGTTCAAAGTCTTCATTTGGGCAAGAGAAGGTGGGGTTCAAAACTGAGGACCAGAGTGGGAATATGATTCTCTCAAGGACAAATAGCTAAAAGTAGCTAAGCTGGAAAAATAGATAATAACTCATACTTAAGGTTTATGAGGAAAATATGTACTTTGTCAAACTAGGATGTGAGTTACTATTATCAGAGTGTCTCATTAGCCTTATTTTACATATGGGGAAAATGAGGTCCAGGGAGGGGGCATGACTCACCCAGTAACAGAACAATAATTTATACTCAGCACTTCCAACTTCTTTGCAATAGGTCACCCACCCTCTCTTCCCCTCTTCATAAGAACCGTATGAGGTAAGAAGTATGAATCCTACTCTCTCAGATGGATAGCTGGAAGCTCAATCAGTCACTAGTCCAACATTTATAAGGCCCTAATATATGACTAGTAATTAGGCTCTGTAGTAAATGCAGGGGATACAAAGAAAGACAAAACACAAGCCTGTGCTCAACTTAAACTCTAAAGAAAAATCAGCATATAAACAGCTAAGTACAAAAAAGCGATACACAGGATAAATTGGGGGTAGTCTCAGAATTAAGGGGATTTGGGAAAGGTTTCTTGTAGAAGGCGAAATTTTAACCAGGGCTTGAAGGAAGCCAGGGAAGCCAGAAAGCAGAGATGAGGAGGGAGAACATTCTAGGTGAGAGGGACAACCAGTGAAAATGATCAGTCTTGGAGTCTTGGAGTCTTGTTTGGGGAACACTTGGGAGGCCAGTGTCACTGGATCACAGAATACATGGGATGGGACTGGGGAAGTGAGGAGGATAGCATCTGTACATACTATAAGAAGACTTGAAAGCAGGGGGAGGGACAAGTTTTGAAGAACTTTGAATGCCAAACAGAATTCTCTACTTCATCTGGAGTTGAAGTGAGCAGCTTGAGGTAATGTAGCTAATGAGCAGCCAAGGTATTATTAAATAGCCAGGATTTAAAGTTTATAAATCATTTTCCTTCCAAGTTTTACAGATGAGGAAAATGAGTTTCAGAGAAGGGTGAGTTACTCGTGGTCATGTAACTAATGAATAGTCAAGGTGTTATTAAACAACTAATACTAAAGTTTCCTCCCAAGTGTCCTGAGCAAATACATAGGTAGTACGTGTTATCCTCCTTTTACAGATGAGGAAACTGAATCTCAAAGAGGGATGATTTGCCCAGGGTCACATGTAATTAGAAAATGTCACAAGTAGGATTTGACTCCAGATCCAGCACTATGCCATAGGAGGCCAAAAAATAAAAGAGGAATTTCATTGGATCTGAAGTGAGAGGGGTAGAAAAATATGGGAAGATAATGCTTTGGAAAGAATCTAGCACTAGATATGAGGAATGCTGGTTTCTATTCAGGAGGCCGTGAGGAAAAATCACTGGAACTGGAGTCAGAAAATCTGAGATTCTTAAGATAACAACAACAATAATATTTATATAGTGCTTTAAAGTTTGTAAAGCACTTTTCAAATATTATCTCTTTTGATCTGCACGGTAACCGTGGGAAGTAGGTGATATTATTATATTCATTTTACAAATAAGGAAACTGTAGCAGGCAGAGGTTAAAAGCCTTGTCTAGGGTCACACAGATAGTATGTATCTGAGACAGGATTTGAACTCTGATCTTCCTGATTCTAGGTCTTATAATCTATCTACTGTACCATCTAGCCTATATTCATCTCTGACATGCTATGCTCATAACATTCAGGATTCTAAGATTCCTGTCAGTCCTGAAATTCTATGATTTTCAGTAGCTGCAATAGTGGAAAAAGCATTGAACTAGAAGTTGAGAGATAGATATGGGTGCTTAGTTCAAATTCTTCAACAAGCTTTTGTGTTATCTTAGGCAAACCATTTCTGATCCCCAAGTTTCAGTTTTATCATTTATGAAATGAGTGGGTAGGTTTAGACCTTCTACCCCTAACATTGTGTGTCTCTAAAAATAGTACATTATTTCTTTTGCTTTCCCTAAGGGGAGAAAAAAGGAATACTCTCTGCCTGAGATGTCAAATAGGGCCCACACTCTCCACTGCAACCTCAACCGGATAAAAATGTAATTGAGAAATATTTCAGAAATAAATAAAATACAATAAAACATAGATAATGTTAATATGTGGTTTTCTAAGTCAATATGCACTGGCAGGGATCGTTATGTACAATTTGGTGGCCTTGTTTCTATTTGAGCTTGATACCCTTGCTTTAGGCTCTGGAGTCCTAAAAACATAGTTCCTTTTTCTTCTTCTTCCACCCTTCTACCTTGATTCTTCCTCTTACATTTTATTCTACATTCTATTTTACATTCTATACATAATCTGCCTCTATGTTCATAGCCTAAGCACTGAAACCAGCTGAGAACTTAGTGAGTGTCATTGGCCACATTCCTAAACACCAACCACATTCAAGAAAACCAAATAGGTCTCTTCAGGCAAGCTTTCCTGCCCAAGGAAACCAGCAAGGAAATCATTGTATGACTCATTTTGATTCTTGGCTAACTATCCTAGGTAAATCCAACTTTCACGTGGTCTACTATTACCCTAAAACACTCTGTGTGTGTGTGTGTGTGTGTGTGTGTGTGTGTGTGTGTGTGTGTGT